TTCTCTCTCTCTCTCTCTCTCTCTCTCCCCTTCCTCGTTTCGTTTTTCTTCTGCTGGATGGAGAGAGAGAGAGAGAGAGAGAAACGAGCGAGAGAGGGGAAAAATTTCGGCCGAAAACTTTAGCCGTTCTTAATCCACGGTTTGCCACGAGTCCAATTCGAGTGAAAAGATGGCAGACCGAGGGAAATGGGGAAAGTTATGCGCGTTATGCTGCAATGGTTTAAGGTTCGTGAACGGAAGAAGCAGCGGCCGCTTTTCCGCTTTATTCGAAATACATCCTAATAATCGAGTCCGTTCCATTGAAAATGAGAAAAAAAATTCTCTATACTCCTCCTCTTCTCTCGCTTCTCTTTCCAACTCGACAACGGTTCATAGTATCCCCCGTGGCGCAATGTTGTTCCAGTTCTCTTTCCTTTTCCTTTCGCGTGGCGTCTCCAAGCCGGGTGAAAAGAGGGAAAGAAAGAAAGAAAGGAAGAAGAGACGGAGCCTCCTCTTTCCACGTATCATGACTCATCCGGAGCAGTCCGATATTAGAAAGGTGACATATCGTCGTCACACGTATTGCGAGAGGTTTCGGAAGGCCTTCGTCGCCTTTTCAAATCCGAAACCAGCAACACCTTTTGTGTCTTTTTCTCTCTTTTTTTTCTCTTTGCTATGTGACGCGCGCGCGATACATTATTCGGGCGTGTTACACCGCTGACGAAAGCGCGAACGGGCGGCGTAAAGATGCATTAATCCCCTGACAGCGTCTCGTGGAAAATGCTCGGCCGAAAACACGCGGGAAATTTATTTTCCCGGCCCGCTGCAACTCATTTTTTATCCGGCCGCGTTGAAATTGACCCGAAAATATTAACATTCCCTTCCTTTTTAACTTGAGGGAGGCAAAAAGAAGAGGAGTGATATTACCTCCTTTTTTCTCCGTAAACGAAATTAAGTTATGGATGGAAGAAATAATAATAATTTGCCCTCCCCCTCGAACTGGAACTATGAACCTGAAGTTTAAGGAAAAATCATTCAGTTCGAGTTGGAAATATATATATATATAATCGATGATTATTTTAAATTATTTTCCAATCATAATTTCACGTTTTCGCGTTATCATTGTGAATAATAAATTCGAACGAAATAATTTTCAATTTATGTTTCGTCAAGGAGACGTATTTAACTCACAATCGTGGTCGCAGTCGACAAAGTCTTATTGTTTTGTGGAAAAACGGCGAATAATTCGTGAAGGTGAGACGGTGAAATGGTGTGGAATTTGCGGTGATCCCGCAATAAGGGATTCATAGTTGTCGAAATCGTGGACGAACGGTTACGCTACGTTGAACTCAATCGTACGAAAACGCGTAATCCGTGGACGTAAAACGGGACGAAAACGATATGTGGAAAAGTGTGGAATTACTCTCGTTCCGTATCTCTGCCCAACCAAAGTCGAAACTGATAATCAATTTCGCGGATGTGTACGTTTACACCTCGATGCGCGTTTCCAATCCACTCTTTCGAATGGAAATCACGCGGATAGATTGCTCGTTCGATAAGCGGGCAACTACGGTTTTCGAGACGACCGTCAATCGTTCCATATCCTTATCGATATGCAAAAACTTCTCTCGCTGGCGGACAATAATTATAATACGATGGAAATCAATGGAATATTTCCAGTTTTCGACGCGAGAATTATTTTGAAATTGTTTTGAGATCGGTTCAAAGCTCAAACACCGTGACACCGTAATTTTTCTATTTCTATAACAGGTATATAAATTTTCGATCCAAAACTACTACATCGATTCCGCGATATTTCCTCAAAGTGAATTCGGTTTATAAAAATCGAACGCCGCGCTCGAATCACACTAATTTTCATATTTTTACAATGATATATGTAAATTATTTCATCCGAAGGAAAGATCGAAAAGTCTACATCCATCGATTCGGGGATATTCGAAAAGAATTATTCCTATAAAAATCAAACGCCACCTATACCCTCTTGCTTAATAGTAATTTCTACAACAGGTATATAAATATCGATTTGGGAAAGATCGTTTTCTTCAATAGCATCCATCGGCTCTCTCTTAATAACAATTTTCCTATTTTTACAACAGGTGTGCAAATAATATCCGATCGAAGGGAAGAAAAATCGTATTTTCCTCGATCGCAAAGCCTGCGATCCATCGACTACGTTCAGGGATGTTCGAAGCGAATTCTCACGAATCTCGTCCTAATCACAGGAGACGGAGAGGCGAGGCAAACACGCTTAAGGCAAAGTGAGAGCTGCCACGTCGCTGGGGGCGAACACAATCTTCTGATATTTCTGATGCAGCATCTTCTTCAATTGTTCCGTGTGCTCCCGATTCCTGGTCTCGCACAACACTCTCACATCCACGCTGAAGAAGTCCGTCATAATCCAGGTCCGCTCGTACGTGATGTCCTTTATCGAGACATCGAGGTTCGCCAGCATTCTGCAAAGCTCCGCGACCTCGTCCGGCCGATCGGACACCGTCACCGTGAACTTCAAAAGCCGCCCTTCCACCGCCAGTCCCCGTTCCAAACACCTGACCAGGGCCATCGTGCCGATGTTTCCGCCGGACAGAAGCAGCACCACTCTACCAACGAAAATCAAACGGCCGCGTTGTTACCATCCCTTCGACAATACCAACTATTGAACAGAGTTGCGCAAAAAAAAAAAAAAGATTGCAATAATATAACAAATCGATTTGCAAATAGAATTTACATAAGACGAATCGATTCGATACGTTGGCCTATCCATAGTTATACGTTGCGGCATTATATTAACCCTTTGCACTCTCGGGCGAACCAACAACTCCACACGATTTCCCCGCACTTCGTTCTTGGTAAATTTTTTAGCTAACTTAAAATGATTTAATTTATTGAAATTGTTGAATATTAAAAATCTATATTGTTGTGTGATATTTTAATAATAAAGTAATTAGTGAAAAGCATTATTGTCTATTATTCTTATTTTCCACCTTCTTATACTACATCTCTATTTTTATCGCCATTTTCCTTCTCTCTATTATCAATGAATAGAAATAATTTCATTATTTAATAACGAAAAATTCATCTTGAACTAATATCCCAACAACTTGTTTTCACAATCACAGTCTATCATTCTTATTTTCCTCCTTCTCTTACAGCATCTCAATTTTCATCACTACATTTCTTTCGCTCTATCAATTTCTTAATGAATCGGAATCATTTCGTTATTTAATAACGAGAAATCAAACTCATCTCCACTTGAACCAATTACGTTACACGCTTACAAAACTCAGAACTTTAAAAATAATATTTCTATCGCCGTCGAACGAACGTCAAACTCGGACTGACGCCGAAAATAGTTCGATCACGGTCTTATTTCAGATAAAAATCTAACCATTTAAGGTGTAGTATATTATTCTACACCTTATAAGATTATACTTAAACAGCTTAAGAATCCACTCATGAAGCGATATTTTAAAAAAAATCAAACATAAATAAATATTGTCACCACTGGAGTTGTGTCACTAAGTGGCGACTGAGAGTCACCGTTGAAGCGCAAAGGGTTAAAAGTAAACATTGGAAATAGTATTGAGTGTAAAATACAAGGAAAGATAGGTTCAAGATTTGCGTGAGAAACTGGCGATAAGGAGCGACCTTTTTCCTTTCAATTCTTCCAGCTGGCCGGCCAAGATGGCGGCCAAGCCAATAGCGCCGGCGCCCTCCACGATACACTTCTCGTCCTCGAGCAGTTTCAAGATCGCGACGGCGATCCAATCTTCTCTCACCACCACCAATTTGTCGATCAACGGATTCGCGGTCGCGAAAGCGTTGTATCCCACCACGGGGACGGCCAGGCCCTCGGCCAGTGTCGGGCCTACGGGTGTGTAAGTCGGCCGACCCGCTTTCCGCGCCTTGTAGAAACTGGGACACATCTCCGACTCGACGCCCTGTGAAAATTGGGGGGAAGGAGAAAAAGGGGGATGTTATCCGTCGAGGAAAAGAGATGTTGGGAGAGGGGGGAAAAAGAGGGAAGAGAAAGAGGTAGTGTTCGCTCACGATAATCGTTACGCTGGGATGAAGGCTTTTCACAGCCAGAGCTACGCCCGCGATCAAGCCGCCGCCTCCGATCGGGATCACCACAGCGTCTATGTTGGGAACCTGTTCCACGATCTCGAGGCCGAGCGTTCCTTGCCCCGCCACAATGTCCGGGTGATCGTATCTGTGGGAATGTAAACAGAGAGGAAACACCAGGTAGCGAGAGAGAGAGAGAGAGAGAGAGTAATTTTTTAGAAATGGTGGTGGAAAAAATGGTTTGTCAATTTTTCTTTTTCTTACCCGCAAAATTCGATAGTCGATGTTACGATAATTTAATTTGAAATAATTGACAAACTCGCCCGAGTTAACACCTGTGTATATCCATCCTGCTCAACGTGACATTCCTCTTTGTGCTTGTGTTTCGTGTTTTAAAACTCATCATACCGTGGTGAATTTCGACTTATTTTTCAATATTTTTTTTTATCCTTTCCAAGTTTTTTCTTTTGTCGCCAAAGTTAACCCGGTTAACTTCTCTTTCTTTTCTCAAGATTTGTAAAATACGTCCTTGGTATTTTAAGAAAATAGTGGATAAAAAGAAGTGAAATTGGAAAAACGACCGCCTTTGAATTTTCGAGCGAACTTTAAAGTTTTAACCGGTTCCTTTTCTCTCCTAGCTCAGTAGCACGACAAAGTATAGAATATGTACCCGTTTATGTAGACCAGCCCTTTCTCCTTGCCGGTTCTGAGCGCGGTGCGCCTCGCCTCTTCCATATCGGGGCCATGGACGATCACGTTCGCTCCGTATTGGCGGCAAGCGATGATCTTGATGACAGGCGCCATCACAGGCATCACCACGGTCACCGGTATACCAAGCTTGTACCCGTGATAAGAGATCGCGGCGGCGTGGTTACCGCACGAGGCTGAGATCACGCCGAGCTTCTTCTGCTCGTCGGACAGCATCATCAGAGCGTACCTCGCGCCGCGCTCCTTGAAGCTTCCGGTCACTTGGAGGAAATCTTTTTTCAGGTATATGTCTATGCCGATCGTATCCGAGAGCCGCGATTTCTGTGCGAATGAAATGTTATATTTTTAGAAATGTTTTGTGGAGGATAAAAAGCAATGGAATTATTTTCGTCGTGGGGATTAATATGGGGGATCAAGTGAATGATTCGAGTAAATGAAGAAAGTTTTATTCGCGACGAGTATTGGATTTTTTGAAAGACGATTCCTTGGTGGGAAAAAAAAATATGACGAAATATGTAGAGATTTCAATTTAATATTCGTTTATCCTTCGAAACGATCTTTTGGCGAGGTTAAAGAAACTCTCTTTAACTCTCGACGAGAATGAGGAAATGAACGAAACTTTTCGTTTTTTTTTTTTTTTTTTCTACGTGTGTATCGAATCATTAGACCAGGAATGTTGAATTTAGCGGTGATACATGTGGACAATCGTGTTAAATATGATGATAAGAAGCGGGAAGAAATCGTACCACGCATGGTGTATTGATGATGTCGTATTTGATCTTGAAAGCGGCCGACGTGACGTTCTTGAAAGGGACCGTCTGAGGATTATCCTCGACGCAATACGGGTCAATCAGATCCTCCTCCTTCACTTCCTGCGTTCCCCCCCTTGCACTCGACGAAATTAATTCTCGTCCTATAGCGTGACGTAACGTGATAATTGCGTGATGAATCGTTATCGAGCTCGTAAACGAACGGTTACGAAAAACGCGCCCGTATGAAAATGGCAACATGTAACCCCTCGACGTAAAACGCGACGAAAACACACAAGCTTCGATTCCTCCCGTTCCATTCTTTTTCCAAGCCAACCCCGTTCCGCTCGATCGAAACTATGGCACATAGGTGTCGCTGAAACGATTGAACACCGTTCGTTTCGAAGACGACGCCGCACATTAACGGTCTCCCCAAATTCTTGCATTCGAGGAAATTAATTCTCGCGTGGCGATGAATCGTTATCGAACTCGTAAACGAAAAAACGAAAATGGCAACGCGTTACTTCTCGGCGTAAAACGCGACGATGCGTGGAAAAGGGTGGAATTACTCTCGTTCCGTGCCAACTGAAACTGATAATCAATTTCGGTACGGGTGCGTACGTTTACACGTCGATAGGCGAATCTCGAATCCACCCTTTCGAATGCAAATATAATATGAGGGGGGATTGCTCGTTTGGAAGGTCGTTTTTGAGACAACTACTATTGTAACTATTCGCATCCTTGTCGAAACTTTCCTCGCTGGTTGAAATATGGGACAATAATTCGTACAATGGAAATCAATACATACCAAGTTTCCATTGATTCGCGGCACGAGAACTATTCCAATCGGTAAAACTCAAACTCACTCACGTATTCTCTCTTGATAGTAATTTTTGTATTTTTACAACAGGTATATAAATTTTCGATCCAAAGATTCGTTCCTCGATCGAATACTCTACGTAAATCGATAAATCTGTAATATTCACGAAGCGATCTCAGTTTATAAAAATTAAACACTATACGCTCTCTTAATGATAATTTTCGTATTTTTACAATAAATGTATAAATATCCGATCGAAAGAAAAGGAATGATCGATTTTTCTTCGATCGCGTCCATCGATTTTCGGATGTTCAAAGCGATCTGTTCCTGAAAATCAAACGCTATACCTTTTCTCTTATAATAGTAATTTTCGTGCTCTTATAATGAAGTGTATAAATATCCGAAAGAAAAGGAATGATCGTTTTCTTCGATCGCATCCACCGATTTTGGGATGTTCAAAGCGATTTCAAATTGGTCTCAAAAATCAAACG